CCCCCCCCCCATCCTATCCCAGGGACACGCGGGGTGGCCTCACCACTTCATCAGGAACATGAGGTCCCCGCAGGAGTCAGTGGCACCGATGATCTTCTCGGGCTCCAGGCCCCGCTCGAAGCCCCGGGCGATGTCGTTGCTCTGCAGATTTGGGGGGAAAAAAAGGTTTTTTTTGGTGGGGGGGATGTGGTGGTGTGGGTACGCTTGGTGTGGTGGTGGGGGGAGAGCCCTGGTTTGTGGCAGTTGGGAGGTCACAGGGTCGCGGACATCCTCTCCATGCTGGCACCAGTGGGTGGTGCTGGCCCTTCGGGGTGGCACTGGGCACCCATCCCAACTGTGGTGACACTGAGCATCCGTCCCCATTGCGGTGACACTGGGCCCCTGTCCCCATGGCTGTGTGACTGTCCCCATCATGGAGACACCGGGTGCCTGTCCCTACCCCTGGGTGCCCATCCCCATCCTGGGGCCCATCCTATCCCTGGGTTCCTGTCCCCATCCCTGGGTGCCCGTCCCCATCACAGAGACTTTGGGTTCCTGTCCCCATGGTGGGGATACCAGGTACCCATCCCATCCCTGGGTGCCTGTCCAGATCATGGGGACGTGGGGTGACTGTCCCTATTCCTGGGTTCCTGTCCCCACAGTGGGGATGGCAGGTGCTTGTCTCCAGCTGGGTGCCTGTCCCTATCCCTGGGTTTCTATCCCCATCCCTGGGTGCCTGTCCCCATCCCTGGATTTCTGTCCCCATCCCTGGGTGCCCATCCCCATCACGGGGATGTTGGGTTCCTGTCCCCATGGTAGGGATGGCACGTGCTTGTCTCCAGCTGGGTGCCCGTCCCCATCCCTGGGTGCCCGTCCCCATGGCAGAAGAAATTCAATTAAGTGTGTTCTTCTCTGAATAGTCCCGCTCAGCGCTAGTGGCTGAAAGAGCCGACTGATGCCCGAGGCAGCAGGAGCTGACCCAGTCTCGACTCGCTGATAAAACCAGCGCTACAAACACAAAACTGGCCAAATCTGGCAGATGGGAGTGGGACAAGGAGATAAGGACCAAGGAAACAATTCCAAGAGAGTGAGGTCACTTCAGAAGGTGGCCAGCACAGCAACAGTGAAAACAAATAAGAAACCAAGAGACCGCTGTCCAGAATTAAGGGATTGGACTTGGGGATCAGGTGATGGAGTAATTGGGGGGGGCACAGTCTGGGTAGGGGTCCCTCTCCAGAGGCACCCAGCTCAAGCTGGCACCTGAGAACTAATCGAAGAGGAACTGGAAACCTTCTCTCGGACCTTGCATTAACCAGCAGAATCCCAGGGTTGGACCCTGTTACGGTGGCCAGCGTGCGTAATCTGTTAACAATGGCTGGGTGGCCATCCCCATAGTGGGGATGTTGGGTGCCTGTCCCTATCACAGAAATGTTGGGTGCCTGTCCCCATCACTGGGTGCCCATCCCCATCACGGGGATGCTGGGTGCCTGTCCCCATCACAGAAACGTTGGGTGCCTGTCCCTATGGTGGGGATGGCAGGGTCCTGTCCCCATCCCTGAATGTCCATCCCCATCCCGGGGATGCTGGGTGCCTGTCACCATCCTGGGGATGCTGGGTGCCCATCCCCATCACACGGACACTGGGTGCCTGTCCCCATCCCTGGGTGCCCATCCCTGTGGTGAGGGGGGCAGGGTCCCCTCCCCAACCCTGGGTGCCCATCCCCATGGCAGAAGCCCCCCCCTCACCTCCCTCTTCTTCTTGGCCTTGACGTCCTCCCCGCCGGCGGGCAGCCCTCCTTTCCTCTTGGCGCTCTCCACCTTCTCGCGTGGTTTGTTCCCGTCACCCTCCTTCATCTTCTTATACTTTCTCATAAACTCCGAGATCAACTCTGGGCAATCCAGGTTCTTCTCTGGCTCCCAAGTATTGTGTTCCCTGTCACCAAATGACCGTCACCATCATCATCATCGTCACCGTCCCCCGTCCCTGGCAGTACTTACTCGGAGAAGCCTTTCCACTTGAGCAGGTACTCGGCCTGGCCCTTCACCACGCGCCGGTCCAGCACCTTCTCCACCACATACTCCTCCTCGTCTCCCGAGGACGAGCTGTCGGCTGGCCGCTTGCTCCTCTTGCCCATAGCGCAGCGCCCACGGATCCTGGGAGGGGGATGATGGATGGACACGGGGACAGGGGGGGTTATTGGGGACCTCCCTGCCACCCATCGCCCCCCCCAAATCCGTAAGAAGAGGAGCCGGTGCCTTGCAATGCAATTTGGGTTAAGCCCACTAAAAACGGTGGGGATTTAGGTACAGGGAAGTGTAATTTGGGTTAAACTCCCTAAAAAACAGCAGGGATTTAGGCACAGGGAAATACTTTGGTGGAAAAGCCCATTTTTCCACCAATTTATAACACGGCGATAAAAATCTCACCACTTTTTTAAAAGCAAATTAAAAAGGGGTGAAGGGGGGGAAAAAAGAAGGGAAATCCCTGTGCTCCCCCTGATCGTTTTGGGGCGAGTTTGCTGCTTGACAGCAAAGCCCCAAAAGTTAAAACCCCAGGGGTTTTAAAAAACCCAGGTTTTAAGGCACGCAGCCAAAATGTGGGGTTTTTTTTCCAAGTCTTGGGTTTAACAGCTTTTTTTAAAATTCAGCCCTAAAAAAAACCCCTGATGGAGCCAAGAAATTCCTCACTGTCCCCGTGCCCTGGGTAGCATTTCCTGAGGGGGCCAGGCAGCAAAGGCCCAAACCAGTGTGATATACCAGCAGTGGGTGTGGGTGTAAAAAGGGAGGTTTTGGGTGTAAAAGGCATGGATTTGGGAGTAAAAGGAGCAGTTTTGGGGTGTAAAAAGGGCTCGTTTTGGTGTAAAAGGGATGGGAAGGGAGGCCCGGGGCATCCCATCCCTAAAGCTGCGTGCGGGAGTCCTGGAGAAACAAAGGAAAAGCACCGTTTTGAGGCAAAAAGCGCTGTTTTGAGGCAAAATGCGCCAGTTTCGAGGCAAAAAGCGCCAGTTTCGAGGCAAAAAGCGCCAGTTTCGAGGCAAAAAGCGCCGGTGTGGTCCGGACTGGCTTGTCCCAGCTTCTCCCGGCCCCAGCTGCGGGGTCCAGGCCGGTCCCGGGGGCGGCGGAGGCCTGGCCCGGTCCCGGTGCTCGGCGCTGCACAGGATG